TGGAGGGTTTTTTTTTTGTTTGTTTGTTTCTTATCAATTTGGAACAGTGCAAAAACAACTTCCAGAATGTTTTCCTAGTTTTGTTTTTCTTCATCTTTCACCTACAGTTACCTCTGTTACGCTGTTAAGTGCTGTACAGTTAGTTCTGACTCATAGAGACCCTGTATAGGGTTTCTGAGGAAAGATTTGAACCACCGACCTTGTGGTTCAAATTGACTTTGCAGTCCAGTGCATTAATCCGCAGTACCACACCAGGACTCCTACTTCTGTTATATTCCCTATGAATTTTGAATTGATCACTAGGTATTTACTTCAGATTTCATTTAGGCTTGGAGGTGCCTGCGGAGAGATCAAGAGTTGCCAAGATTTGCCAAGAGGTGTCAGTCAAAGTCAGGTTTGCCTCCAAAACAGCTGGTCCCTGAACTGGTCTGGGAATGGACCCAACTCCAGAGAACAGCCATTGAGTATCTTTGGTTGCCAAAGATGATATAGTGCTGGTGGGAGAACACTGATGTAGAAAAAGGAACGCCAGAATTCAAAGAGGCGCAAAGAACAAACAGCCGAGGAGGTTATGCGATTATACAGCTTCCTCTAACATCGTCTACTTCTTCTCCCACACCTTGGGGTCAATGGTCATTTTACAGATATGACAAATGGAAGCAGAGTGTATGTATGTAAATGTGTTCATAACACAGCCCATGTGGCAGAAGACAGCCTGATATTCTGGCTATGGATCAGGCAGATAAAACAAAAATGACTCTTCTAGAGAAAGGACTCTGATTTCTCTGGAAGAGTCTATCTATGTAGGTTGTTTTTCCCATTGCCAATTTCACCGTGTTTTTCTTTGTTGTTGTTATTGACTGCCATATAGTAGGTTCCAACCCACAGTGACCCTGTATAGGGTTTCTGAGGAGCAGCTGGTGAGCTTGAACCACCGACCTTGTGGTTCAAACCAACTTTGTAGTCTAGCGCATTAACCCGCAGTGCCACCCCAGCACTGATTTACTTATCAGTGGAAAACTGCAGTTGCTGCTAAGTAGATTCCAATACATGGTGACCCCATATGTGTCAGGAAGGAACCATGTTCCACAGGGCTTCCAATGGCTGTGATCTTTTGGAAGTAGATCACCAGGCATTTCATTGGAGGCACATCTAGTTAGATTTCCTTTAGTAGCTGAGTGCATAATCATTTATGCCAAATGGTCTGTAGACAGGGGGAACAAAAAGGAGTTTGTGGCAAGAATTTAACTGCCTAGTGTGGGTTGGCTTCTTATAAGAAAAAGAAATAATATGGAAACTTGGACTGACTGATTATATTAAGTAAAAATTAGGCACTGTGTGGTCACTACTGAATTGATCATCTTTAGTGATTTTTGACGATGAAATTCAAGAGACAGCTCTAGAGTCCAATATTACAGAAAAAACACAAATAAGCTGAAAAGACAGTGGCAGGCTGCACTTTAAACATGTGGGTGGGAGAGCTGTAGCTCACTACAACAGACTTTGTTTCCTCTCTTCCGACCCAATTACACTTCTAGGCATCCCCTGCTCTTGCCCCAGGGTGTGGCCTGGTTTGAGAAGAGAGCTGAGTCGTCATTTCAGCCAGGCCATGGTGCATTGATGCCACGCTCCTGGTTTCTGACGTCTAGACTCACTGGGGACTGAAAACTCCACCTGACCTAATTTTTCGCTGGGGAAAAATACACGGAGTAACATAATAACGCTCCTGAAACAAGTTTTCTTCAAGGTAGTCCACCATATACCTCCTTAATATTAACCTGGTGTCCTGAGATGTGGCCAAGCACGGGGCAGAGGGAAGCATTCGGTTAGAAACCATGAAGAGCTTGTCCATTAATGGGGTGGGAGTCTCAGAAACGCCCTCACCTGGGCCCCTGGTAGTAACAGCACAACTGGAAAGGCCGGAATCTCAGTAACAGTATGAACTCTGCTACGCGGGAGAAAGATGAGGCGGTCTGCTCCCGTAAAGATTTACAGCCTCGGAAACCCTGTACAGGGTCGCTATGAGTCGGAACCAACTCCACGGCACACAACAACAACAACAACAACTTATTAGAAGGAAAAACAAGAAAGGTTTCCGTGCCCCAGGCTAAACGTTTACAGAGCCTAACATAGCTTGGCTTTCAACAGATGACCTCTAGGGGCAGATCAGCTGCAACCCTTGTACTCTGAACCCCTTGCTCTCAGCCTGTGTACAGCTTGTGCAGTTGTACAACAACCTCCGACCTCCCTAATCTTGAGAGTATGACCAACTGGATTCATCAGCATAGGTGATTTCATCAAAATGATGGAGCATTTTAATTCTTGGTAGCAATAGCCCACCATACTCAGAATGAAGGTGATTGGTGCTTCCCACGAATTATTCTTGGAACAGCTGCGTTTTGGTCTACAGAGTTAGATATTCTTGAAAGAGTCAAACTTTACATTACTTTTTTTGGGGGGAGAAATAATTTCTAAAAGGTCTTTACCTTTATTGTCTGCCACTCCCCCCGGCTCCCATGAAACAAACCATTGGGTCCCTTGAGGCTGGATAAGCAGTAACAACTCAGTTCTAGATCCACATAGCCTGCTTTTTCTTCCTTGCCTCCTCCACTTGCCAGGTGACTTAGACCAGGTGGGCCCAGCACTGTGTTGCTGTCTGGGCGTTGGGGGAGGGGTGCTCCCCCTCAGCAGGATGTCTGCTTTCCTGCCTGAAGTCCTGGCACTGTTAGTGGGGCTTCAGCCCAGAATCAATTTCCCCATTGGTTTGAATAAGCTATGGGTATTATCCCAGTAAAGAATACATATTCCTCTCTCCCCCCTATTTTTTTTTCCACACAGTGTTAGGGGGTTTGGGAATCCAAGCCAAGAAATAAGATGGTAACCTTTTCTTGTTCCAGGGATCCCACTAGTATCTGGCATAGCTACAGTCTCCTCTCTCAGAATCAAGATTTTAGATGCGTAAAGCAAAAGACATGCTTTTAAAAGAAGCCGATTATACTGAAATAGTTATCAACATTTTTAAACATTTTGTGATATGGAAATATCGATGTACTTTAACGAAAACACATGGATTAACAAGCTCTAATGGTGAGTATATGAACTACTGTCAGTTTGAAGCAGTGATGAGCAGAAAAGCTATTTTACCAGGTCTGCCTGAGTGTGATGTGAAATGACAAAGTCTGTGCTCTCCATCGTGGTGGGCGTTGCTACTTCTAGTGTGGCACTGTAGGCTCAGCACTGGGCTGCGAACCACAGATCAACACTTTAAATATACCAGCTGCTACTTGGAAACCCTGTACACAGGGTTGCTATGAGTCATAACCAACTTGACGACGCATAACAACAACTATTGCTTATGTTCATCACTGAAGGTAATACTAAATTTTACTAGAAGTTAGTGAAAATGAAGATGCATTTCCCCACCCCCCACCCCCCACCCTTTCTACAATCCTGGACATTAGGTTAAGAACCCTCCAGGTTCAGAGATGGTCAGATGGGTTGCTGGGCCTTGCTTGGGGCCTTGCTACATCAGCCTGGGCCATAGAGGGCGATAGTGAGGTTCCTGTTCTCAGACTGACACAGCTAGATGGCATGACGATTGTGTGCCATAAAGTCAAACTCACCAGCCGCTCCTTGGAAACCCTATAGGGTCATTATGAGTAAGAACCAATGGTATTTAACAACATAGGGTTTCCAAGGATGTATATCTTTACAGGAACAGAAAGCTTCATTTTTCTTCCTCAGCTCCGCTGGTAGATTCAAACTGCTGACCTTGTGGTTTACTGCCCAACTCGTAACGCACCATGCTACCAGAGGCTATGTTGTTGTTGTTATTGGACTCATAGCAACCCTGTACAGGATTTCTGAGAAGTGACTGGTGAGTTTGAACTGCCAACCCTGTGGTTCAAACTGATCTTTGGGTCCAGTGTCTTATCCTATAGTGCCATACCAGGACTACACCAGAAGCTATGGGGCTGCATGTTCTGTAGGGAAAGCCACAGGGCAGGCTTACAGTGGCTTCTGTTCTGTCCTCATTTACTGGGGAGGGAGATGGATCAGCAATTGCTACCTTTCTCAGCACAGAGTGAGGGTTCAAGGGATCCTTTCTGTAAAACTACACCCCAACCCTTACCCCAAGAGGAATTTCTATTATGCCTTCCAGATCAAGATAGATGAAAAAAGTTGCCTTTTACTTTAAAGAAGACACGGGCATGCTCTGACTGACTTGGTCTCTCACCTTACCTTATCTTTCTGGAGATGCTCACCTAGGTGAGGCCATCCTGCTCAGGAGGCAGCCTTCACCCTGGTGGCTCCTATTGCTTCTCCTCTTGTCCTGAAAAAATGCACACCTGTGCCAACAATGCTGTGTGTACTCTTCAAGAGGTGTAAAAATGTTTCACAGGAAATATCCCTGCAATTGCATGGTTACCATCGGCTGACCTGCCATATTTTTATGCAAATACTGCATGTGCTATACATTCTTTTGCAAGCTGTGCAACCCTCTCACCACGTTAGCTTCCTATGAGTACAGTGCATGTTATATGCATAGGTTATTTGTGTGGGCACACTATATGTCCAACATTTGGTATTACTGAAACTACCAGAGAAAAGCAGAACTTTCTCTTTGGGTGCTAGAGCTCAGGCCTGCACAAAAATTTCAAGTTCTAGACAAAAGAAAGTGCTTTGCCTATTGGGTGGTGGGAGGGATGTCAGACTTCCAAGGACAGGTCCTGTCTGAGCAGCTTTTTTTGGCAGGGGCTACCATAAAAGTCCTGGTGTGATGCTGTGGGTTAATGCACTAGACTGCGAGGTTGGCGGTTCAAGCTTACCAGCTGGCTCCTTGGAAACCCTAAACAGGTCGCTATGAGCCAGAACCAATTCAACAGCACTTAACAACAACAACCCCCAAACTTGGCTTCATGGCTACCTGGAAGCACATAATGACTTGACTTTCACCAGGAAAGTGGTCTGTGAAGAAGGTGCAAATAATATCTGCTTACCAATTTTACTTCTTGCTTCATTTATACATTCTCCAAGGGCTTTTGCTTCCGAAAATCTAGGGGGGCAAAAAAGAAAAAGAAATGAAAGTTTAACGCTTTCTGTTCATCTTAAATTAGGCCTTAAAAAAAGTAGAAATGTAATTTGTGTTAATTACTGATACTGTGAATTTTTTGTCTGATGTCAGTATGTTGTTGTTGAAATGCCGCGCTGAGTTGGTTCTGACTCACAGCAACCCTGTATAAGGTTTTCAAGAAGCAGCTGGTGAGTGTGAACATGGACCTTACAGATTAAACCGACCTTGAGGCCCAGTGCTTATTCTACAGTGCCACACCAGAGTTCTAGGATGCCAGTATGCAGCATAGAATTTTCAATCTTATATTCTCTAACTTATGACTTCGGGTTTCTATGGTTTTACTCTGCTAGGATTTTAGAACAAAGCTTTGCTGTTGTGACATTAATCACAGTGCCGACATTTTGCACTTGCAGCTCCCAAATACATAAATAAAGTCTTTTTTTCTGATTATAAAGTTATATATCAGGAGTTGGCAAACTCAGGCCTGTGGGTCAGTTTCAGCCTGTGGCAAGCTTCTGTAAATACAGTTTTACTGGAACACGGCCATACTTTTTCATCATACCTCTGGTTGCTTCCACACCACAATAACCAAGTTGAGTAGTTGCAACAGAGCCTGTATGGCCCACAAAGTCAAAAATATTTACTATCTGTCCCTTTATAGAAAAAGTTAGCTGACGCCTGTCATGTATAATCATATTATGTAACATTTTGAAAATCTAAGAATAAGAAAAAATTCTAATCCAGAAATAAGCACATTTTGATATCTATGTTGTTTGTTGTTAAGTGCCGTGGAATTGGTTCTGACTCATAGGGATCCTGTGTAGGGTTTCTGAGGAGCCGCTGGTCAACCAACCTTTCAGTCCAGTACTTATCCTACAGCGCTACACCAGGACTCCATATATACGTGTGTGTGTGTGTGTGTGTGTCTTTAGTCTTTTTTCCAAGCAGTTTTTTTTGTGATGAGATCCTGTCATGTCTTGTATGATTTTGTATTCTGATTCCAATTCACCTCACACTATACCAGACGTCTACCCCTATGTCATTAGAAGCTTTTCTTCTCTATTATTTTCGATAGCTGTATAACAGATACCCATAATAGTATTCACCGTGTGCTACAGAAACCTTATAAGATATGGTGTATATGAGAAACACACAGTTCTTGCCTTTAAGAAATGTTCATTTCTTTCCCTTTCTCTCTTTTCTGCCAATGAACTGAGTTTGTTGTTGTTATGTGCTGTGAAGTCGGTTCCGACTCATAGCGACCCTGTACAGGGTTTCCGAGGCTATAAATCTTTACGGGAGCAGAAAGCCTCATCTTACTCCCATGGAACAGCAGGTAGTTTCGAACTGCTGACCTTGTGGCTTGTAGCCTGATTTGTAACCACTACGCTACCAGAGTTCCTTACTGAACTGAGTAGGCAATTGAAAACCTATGAAACAAAAAATACACAATACAAGGCCATAGTGCATGGATAATACTGGTTGTACCATTAGTTTGAGTAGGAAGAGGCCTATCACTGAGTGGGAAGTAGTCAGGAAAGCTTCATAGAATGGACTTGGGTTTTAAGGATGAATAGGACTTGGTAGAAATAGTTTTATTATAGAAATTGTCAGATATATACAAGACAGAGAGAAGAGTAGAAAGAGCTTTCGTATCCCCATCACCATGTTTCAGTCACATTGGTAACATGAGGCAGAGAAGGAAGCAGAGACGCTACATTGCATGAAGATCGCCAAGGGTATGAGGAACAAGGACCTTCCCCAAGAGTCAACAGAGAGAGAAAGCCTGGCTCTAGAGCAGGTACCCTGAATTTGGACTTCTAGTCTCCTAAACTGTGAGAAAATAAAGCCACTCAAATGTGGTATTTCTGTTAGAACAGTCCTAGGTAACAAAGACCCTCCTTTAAACTGTTGGATCCCAGCAAATCCCAGACATCACATCGTTTTATCAATGTGCACTCAGGAGGATTCTGCTAGGTGAAGTGGGGCAAGGGAACAGCATCATCAGAGGCCAGACTGCCATGACTGCTCTGTGCTTGACAGAGAAGTGTGAATGATGTCATTGCTATTTGTGACTTTCCGAATCTGTCTGCTTGGCCTGTGACTGCAGACAGGAAGTTTCCAGGGAAGAGGATGACATTTTCTCTCAATGTTAGGTTTTTTGGGACCCACCCCTGGATCTCTTACTAAGGGTGTTCAGGCCCATGGTAGATTAGACATGTCCTCTCCTCAGCTAGGGCCTATGCCTTTCCAGGAGACAAGCGATACATGTTCATTTGATGCAATTCAAATTTAATTCAGTTCAACGAACATTCATATTAGTGCAGGGCACTGTGTTGGGCTCTGTGGGGTTTCCTGACTTTTGCCTGCTGGTAGGCATAATCTGAGGTTTAGTCTAGGACATCTAGAATATGAGGACTGTCTTCATATTCTAAATTCTGTGAAGGGTGGGGTCACAACAGTTTGATAGCTGCTCTGTCTATCCGTACCTAGAATTTGCCTGTTCTGTAGAGTGCTGTAAGCTTTTGGTGCTCTTGAACAAGGAAAACACAAAAGCAAGACTGAAAAGCTGCTCAGATTCATGTCAGTGTTGGAGAGAGTGTAGGCAGAAATGGGAAGACAGTGAAGCCACATGGGCTAGTTTTCACTGTAGCCCCCTGCCCCTGAGAAGCCTTGATAGGCCTGGGATGGAGACCCCACATCTGGTGGTGCCTAGATGTGCCCAAGGGGTCATGATGGAGGGAATGTGCTGTGGTCAACCCTCTCCAGAGGCTACCCAGAGCCAGGGCTGGCCGAAACTACAAGGGAAAGCAGGAATGGTTCCAGACTCTTCTGCCATCCAGTGCAGAGCTAAAAAGGGCTTTCCCACTGGAGAGGTGTGGTCTGAGGGCTTTCCTGTCTTCATGAGACCATTTTCCCTTCACTCTGTAGTTGTCACCACTCCAGGCCACCCCACCCACATGTGTTCCTGATCCTTGGTTGTCAAGACAAACTTTTGACAAGGACAAGCCCAGCCTTGAGGGAGAACAGGGGCAAGGGAAAGTATAAAGAGAGGCTGGAGAGATGTGAAGGAAGAAAGGAACCTTATCAAGAGAGACAGAGAAGGGGACCTCACAGTTCTACCCTGCCCTATCTTGTCCACCATGCATCCTCACACCTTCTCAACCCAACTCCCTGATTCCCCAGTCCCTCTTCTTCCCCCTGCCCCAGCCTAGGTTCTGTTGACCTGGATTTTACCTGGGAAGAACTTCCTGATTCTTCTCATCACTGAGATCTTTCAAAGAGCCATTGAGATATCTCAAATTGCACTCCTAGAAACATTGTTCACTGTTGGTTGTGGGGGAGGAGGCGTGGTCTGCATTGGCAGAGAAGGTGGGGGGTAGGAAGAGAAGGTTGCATGCCTCAGCCAGGGCCGCCTATGAGCTCTTGCTACTGGTGTGAACCAAGCACCCCTACCTCCTGTGTGTCTCTTGTTTTGGAGAGTGCAGCATTGCTGGGTGCAGGTCCAGTATGGAGGCCTCAACACTGCTCTGTTGCCTTGCACAGAAAAATCTCTGCCTCGGGGCAAGGCCTAAGCTGGGAAGGGAGAAGCCATGTGGCACCCTAGTGGTTCTTGCTCAAGCGTGGCTCTCAGTAACATATCCCTTCACCCACCCAACAGCCCTCACGGTGCACCAGGTTCTGTGCTGGATGCTGGGGAAACCTTTTTCCAAGTCACCATCTCTCTTATTTTTACCCCCAGTCTCTCTGGCTGCTGTTTCTAAGTCTTCTTAGCAGGTTCTCCCGCAGCCTGCTCCTTAGGTACCGGCGATCTTCAGGATTTTGTCCTTGGCCCTCTTCTTACTTTACCAGTTTCTCTAGGATTCCATTCATGTTGTGGCCTTCATTTGCTGTCTCTTCTGACACCTCCAAAATCTCCATTCCAGCCCCATTTTATTTCACAACCCACATATCCAACTGGAAAGGCTGAGGGTTCGAGTTCCCCGAGAGGCACCTCAGAAGAAAGGCTTGGAGATCAATTAAAAAAACAAACACAGTCATTGAAAACCCCATGGAGCACAGTTCTACTCCGACATACCATGAGTCAGAGATATCTTTCAGCAACTGAAAACAGAAATTATGGGCTGTAGCTGATTAAAGTTTATTGTGTTCAAAGCAGAGCTGATCATCGGCTCTGACAACCTCCCACGTCAGTCTTTCTTCATTTCATCACAGGACTGCGTTGTTCACACACATGCTCATGCCAGTGACCCACACAACATCCTTCACCCCTCTCTGTTAGTCCCTTCCCTTGAGGCTGGAGCTCTGTCCACTCCATGAGCTCAGCATCTGTCATACCTCCCACTTAGCTTCACACCTACCCACCCTGCCTTGTGCAGATCTCAGTCAACGCTCTCCCAGGCTACTTCAACTACTTCTTGCTGGTTCCGGTTCTCCCAAGATTCCTGCTACCTGCCTTCAGGCAACTTCCCACATTTTAGCTTGAGTGACCATCCTTAAGGAGTCCCTGGCTGTTAACTGGAAGGCTGGAGGTTTGAGTCCACCCAGATTTTTCCTTCCAAAAAATCAACCATTGTAAACCATATGGAGCACAGTTCTATTAGGAACCACATAAGGTCACCATGAGCCAGAACTGACTAGACAGCAGCTGGGTGGCACTTCCTTAAATGCAAATCTGCTTAAAACTCTTAGGGAGCTCCTAGCACCCTCAGGACCAAGTCCAAACTTCTTACTGTAGTTAACGAGATAGTTCACGTTCTGGCTCCTGCTACGCTGTAGACTTCTTCCACTTCATCTCTGACACCCCCATCTTTCCAGCTGGCAGGAATCACTTTCAGTTCTAGAAAGTGCCATACTCTTTTGGACTTGGGGCGGTCCCTAGCAAAGGGACCTCTCTCTTCATCTGGCCAATTGTTGTCTAACCCCTCAGACTCAGCTTCATGTCTCTTCCACTGATAGTTCACCACAGCACCCCACACTGC